TACATTTGCTTCAGTAGATGTTCCAGGGTTCTTCTTAGAAGCTATGTGAAACAAAGTATCTTAGAGATACCCCCCTTCTATTTTAATTCTGAGGAGTAAAATAAGAATCTTTAAAAAGAATTGGTACACAACAACAGAAATTGTGATGGTTCCCAACATAACAATATTTATTTAATCAATTTATATGGCACCCAATTTACATACTGCAACTCTGGGTATGTAACCATACCATAGGTGAAACAGGCAACCAAAACAAAAAATAATAAAAAATTAAATCAGAAACAGAAATAAATATACCTGAGGTCAACCACAACCATTCATCTTAACTTTATAAAATGGGCTGACTGACCCAATGTCTAATGGAAGAACCAGGTTTTCAAGGTCTTATGGAAAGCCAACAGAGTTGGAGCTATCCAGCTCTTGGAGGATATCCTGTTCCATAGGGCAAGTGTCACGACAGAGAAGATGTGCATCCTGGATCCCTTCAGATGGCATCATTTCATAGAAGAGACCCACAGCATGCCAATCCCATTACATCTCATGGGACAGGCAGAAATGATTGGAGATAGGGTGTCTTGAGAGATGTGGAACCGTTGCTATGCTTTAGGCACCAATAATGGTACTGGCAGCCACCTATAAGTGATATATAGAACTGATATACATATTTTGAAAAGGAAAATGCATGCATATTTATAGTTATGTTTTTGTTTAAGGGAGTCAGTGCTGTCAGACTGTTTCCTCTTTCTGGCCATCTGCTCTTATCTTGTTCCATGGACTGTAAAATTAAGGTAAATGGATCCAAAGAATATACTATCCCTACTTAAATTTTGTTGTGGATTTAATATCTGTGACCACACTTTTTAACGCTAACATTAATGTAAAGTCAGTAGCGATTGTCATGTTATTGGGCTAAAGAGATATGCCAGGGCCATCTGGGTTTATAACTTTTAAGGACTCCTAAATGCTTATTTATTATGAAACAAATTCATTTAAAATGGTTGGTAAACCCACAGTTGTTAAGACATTGCTGAACTACAATTTCCAGTATCCTTCATAGTTCACCATGCTAACTTAGGGTTCTTGAAGTATGCTGTAATTCAATATTTGGAGAGCCAGGGATTCCCCACATCTCAATATCTAATTAAATGTTTTGAAATGATCTTATAATTGTATAGTAAAGCAAGTCTCACTCCATTAGTGCCAATATTAAAAGATGAGAATGTTGGTTATACGTAACAAGATCTGGTGGTAATTATTGTATTGATTACTCTGTGCTAATCCACAATGCTTAAATACCTGTATTTCTGAAAAACAGTTTTAATTTTTAAAATCCTAACCATTACTTCCCTTTGAATAATTTTTTGCAACTATCTTTTTTGCTCTATGCACATTACTTAGTATTTTTCTCTCATCATCACTTTTTGCAGCAATCATTCATTATCATCCACAGCCTCTTTCACTTCATTCCATCAAGCATTCTTTTTCATGCTTCTCAGTAGATTAACTTGGCACATTTCTATGGTTCTTTGTAACGTAATTTCACCCCATTCCAAGCAGCTTCTACATCCTCTTTCCTTATGCCCATTTTCCATTCATTTTGTTGTGAGACACTACTTTCCCTGCATTCATTCTATTTTCACTTTCTTCCATGTCCGTTTTTCCCCCAGTTCTGCTTATGACGTTGCCAAAAATGGTCTGTTGGGACTTCTCATCACTCTTATATTCTTCACTAATTCTCTTAACTGTTCATCATAAACAATCAAAGCAATAATTATTTCATCAACTCCATAGGAGACTGGTCAGAAGTTATCCAAAACCCTAGGGTCCAAGGATGGCCTCTTGAGGAGGGGGTCAATCACCACCTGTTTCAGTGCTGGTGGAACCATCCTCTCCCACAAAGAGGCATTAACCACCACTTGAACCAACCACATGCCACCTCCCAGGAAGCCTTAACTAACCAGGAAGGGCATGGATCCAGACTACAGGTGGCAGAACTCACAGTAGTAAGGACCCTGTCCACTTCCTCAGGATTGACCAGCTTGAACTCCTCCCAAATAACCAAGTTAGGACATGCCTTGGTCACTTCCACTATACAATACTATATATACATTATACATGTATAGTATACAGTATATACTATACTATAGTAGTTAGAGAACTTTTTTTTTAACAAAGCAAAAATGTCATGTATGTGATTCAAGTTTCTGTGTTTCTTTATATGAACTGCAAAGATTTCAATAAGGAGATTTGATGCTTTATTTGCTTATGCTTGAATATACAAACCGTACAACGAAAGTTTATGTTTGGAGATGGGTTGGTTTTAAAATGAAGTTTTTGCATATATGTGATTATATTTGAATTTGACTGAAAATATATTTTCCTCCACCCCAAAGCTCTGGGAAGTGTATGGTGAACGAAGATGTTTGAGAACATTCATTGGTAATATTATTTACTCTATTTTTTAAAGGACTCTAAATTTGCATGACTGAGATGTGTGTGCTTTATGTAAGCCCAAATTTCCCAAAATTTGGAGGCTCATGGGTACATTCATGAACTTAAGTACAAGGCAAACAAGATTTGAGTGACAAAGCACGAAGTTACTCTTTCTGAACCTTGCATCTTCTCCAGTGGGTCATTTTGACCAAAAAACCATACACATGAGAGAAGTGGAGTCTGAGCCTAAGCCCCAAATGCCAAATTACATAGTTGCTCTAAAACATTGTTTCTCAACCTTGGCTACTTTAAGATGTGTGTACTCCAACTCCCAGAATTCCCCAGCCAGCTATCAATATGTAACCATTTGATAGGAGGTGGAATGAGACTCTTCCAGAAATCTCCTCAAGCCATGTATGCAAATACACACTTACCTGCCCACCTACACAACATACAGTCTATATATACCCCCCCCCCCAAAAAAAACCCAAAAAAACACACACCAAATATCAACCCCACA